GTAACAAACATAAGATTAAAAGGCAATTTAGGAACATACAAAACTGAGGAGAGGGATACAGGATCTAGGTCAACATTACCAACACCACAAATTGAGGATGTGAAACCATTAGCAAGGGTGACAGATTGTGATGTTGAGCAATGAGATAAGGAAGAAAACACCTGGAGTTCCAGTCATGTGATCGGAGGCTCCAGAGTCGATGATCCACCTGGAGTTCCAGTCATGTGATCGGAGGCTCCAGAGTCAATGATCCAGGGATTGGGTGTGGATGCTAGACAAGCCATACCTGAGTGAGCGAAAGCCGCTGTGTTCTGCTGTGATTGGATAAACCTCTCATATTCRTCACGGGGAACACTCACCATCTCCTTCACAGGACCATCTGTGGGTGTAGGAGGTATCTGATCAAATGAATGATTCTCCTGTCTAAAGCTGGAACTTAAGTCACCGATCGCGGCATGGTTGGCCCAGGTTGAGGGTGGACCATGTAGATCATAACAATAGTTAATGGTATGTCCATCCATACCACAATGAGTGCACTTCCTCGGGCCTGAGCCACGTCCTCTACCACGGGCTCCCCCTGAATCTCTACCCCCAGTACGACCACCACCATGATTATAAGTAGGCCCACCATCGCCACTTCGGCCATACACAGAACCACTACCACCACCACGGCCAGACTGAGCTCCCCTACCTCCATCTCTAGCACCACGGCCTCTAGATACAACAAAGGCAGATCTATCTGAGATATTAGAGTTCTCAGTAGATCCGATAGAAATCCTCTGGAGTCGAGCAAATACCTCTTCTAAGGAGGGAAGGGCTGATCCTCCTAATATCTGAGCCCGTACTGGTTCATATTCCGACTTCAGTCACATCAAGTTGTTCTCTCTATTGTTGCTGAATCTTGACATCAGAAGTGAGAGGGTGATAAACATTCAACTCATTACGTATGTTTCTCATGTTGGCATAGTACTCCTCAAGACTCTGATTGCCCTGTTGTAGGTTAAAGTACTCTTGATACAGCTGATACACTCTGGTTGTATTGTCYTGMCYCGAATACAATTTCTTCGCATGGTCCCACACATCTTTGGCAGTGTCAAG